TTTGGGCCAAGATCGCTGAGCCTTCCTATGCCTGCCTTTGCTAGCGATTCACCCAGGAAGGGGCATGACTTTGGGCTAAACAGCTCTCTACAGCAGGGGCCAGCCCTGGAGCAGCTACAGCCAAGGGTCATCTGCCTGAAGCACTCGCAGTAATTTGGGGAACAAGCCATTCATTAAGGGGGATCTAAGTCGTGTGTCTCCGTGTCCCCCACCTGCATTCTGTCCAACCCAAAAAACAGAGCAGTGACATGACAGGTCCCCTAGGCTCGTACTCACAGGGATTATCCTCTAGCTGGTGGAGACAGGTGTTCAATTTTTTTAAAAAAAACTTTATTTACAAAAACAGGTGGCAGGCCAAGTTTGGCTCACAGGTTGTAGTTGGCTGACCTTGCCCCAAATCTTGCTCCAGGACTGAGCTCTGACACCAGGTTACACCCTGGCCTAGGATCAAGCTCAAACATGAACCAAGGCCAAGCCTGAACAAGCCCCAGGCTGAAACTTGGATGAGGCTCCAGCTTGTGCTGTGACCCCAGAGACAGCCGTGACTCAGAGGCTGACTAGGTCATGACCCTGACGCTAGACGAACCCTAAACCTTGGCCTCACACTAAGCCCTGGATCCTACCATAGCTAAATCCTGACTTGACTCTGGCTCTGGACAGAGCTCTGGCTCCACATGGAGCCCTGGTCCGGTCCCAGACAGTCCTGACCCCAGACTGAACTCTCATCCCAACTTCAGATTAAGTCCTGACCCCAGACTGAGCTCCAATCCTAAGTGAACCCTGACCCCAGACTAAGCTATAACCTCAAACAAAGCTCTGACCCAAGACTGACATAGTTAAATCCCCAGGACCCTCAGTCCTTTAGGAATGGACTAAATGGCAGGCACTCAGATCCAGCTGGTGTCTGGCCTTAGCTTTGGATTTCCAGCCTGATTTGAGTGCCACATATCCCTGGTCACTAGGAGAAGACAGCCTGTCCCTGAGCCAGGGCTTTGCATGCAACTTCCTTTCCCTTTGAGGTACTTGAGCAGGAATATTTGAGAAACGTGGTGAACCCCTGGATCCTTTAGCTCTGTCACACAGTGAGTCTCAGTAAAGGCCTGTTGCTGGTGTCCTTCTGAGTACCCCATGGGCAGCCAACTCTAAGGCTTTTCCCAGTCTTGAACTACCTGTTCTGTCCTTCCTCTGTTGAGGGCATGGTCGGGGTATTGCCCTAGTTGAAAGTTATTCCCTACCTGCACGTTTTTCTTTTTAGTTTCCAAAACCACACTCCCACTCCCACTCTCCCTTCGAATTCTAAGCTGTCTTCTGTCAATTTCTCCACCTCTCCCACCCACAAGCAGGGCTTTCTCATTGGCTGTTGAGGCGGCTTCTGCTTTCCACTGGGGCTGGAATAACCAGTGAGGCCAGTTTATCCCATTAAAGTGCTACTCAAAGGCGCCAAGGGCAAGAGCGTGGTACTGTAAACAGGGTTACCTGGCAGGTGACCTCACCACCTTCAGCTACGTTCCCTTCCTAAACACCCACACGGGGACTTCAAAAAGTTAATGGAAAAGTAACATTAAAATATAAACATAAAAAACAAACTTTATTTCTCAACATGAGCTCTGTCAAGTTCAAGACATTTTTGTAAACACTAATACCTGCCATTGAGTCCATCCCTAAAGAACTGAGGGTCTTGGGGATTTAACTGTGTCAACGCAGTCTTTTTTCTTTTTTAACACAATTAACTGAAGTAAAATGGGCACCTTTTAAAGATTTTGTTTTTTAAGATTAGGAAATAGGCTGGGCATGGTGGCTTATGCCTGTAATCCCAGAATTTTGGGAGGCCGAGGCGGGAGGATCACTTGAGGTCAGGAGTTTGAGACCAGTCTGACCAACATGATGAAACCCTGTCTCTACTTAAAATGCAAAAATTAGCTGGGCACACACCTGTAATTCCAGCTACTCAGGAGGCTGAGGCAGGAGAATCACTTGAACCCGGCAGGCAGAGGTTGCAGTGAGCTGAGATCACACCACTGCACTCCAACCTGGGCAACAAAGCAAGACTCTGTATCAAAAAAAAAAAAAAAAAAAAAAAGGTTAGGAAACAAAAAGAAGTCAGATGGAGCCAAATCAGGGTTGTATGATAGATGCTTAATGAATTCCCATCAACACTCTCACAAAATTGCCTTTATTTGGTGAGAGGAATGCGCAGGAGCATTATTGTGGCGGAAAAGGACTCTCTGGTGAAGCTTTTCTGGGGCTTTTTCTGAAAGTTTCAGCTCACTTTATCAAAACTCTCATAATAAGCAGGTGTCATTACTCTGTGGTTCTCCACACAGCCAACAAGCAAAATGCCTTGAGCATCCCAAAAAACAGTTTCCATGACCTTTGTGCTTGACTGGTCCACATTTTTTTTTGACAGAGTCTCGCTCTGTTGCCTGAGTTGGAGTGCAGTGGTGCAACCTCGGCTCACTGCAACCTTCGCCTTCCGGGTTCAAGTGATTCTCCTGCCTTAGCCTTTGGAGCAGCTGGAATTACAGGCATGCACCACCATGCCTGGCTAATTTTTGTATTTTTAGTAGAGACAGGGTTTCACCACATTGGTCAGGCAGGTCTCGATCTCCTGACCTCAGATGATCCACCTGCTTTGACCTCCCAAAATGCTGGGATTACAGGCATGAGCCACCATGCCCGGCCGGCTGGTCCCCTGTTGCTATGGCTGAACCACTTCCCCTTCTTGGTAGCCATTGCTTTGATTGTGCTTTGTCTTCAGAACTGTATTGGTAAAGCATGTTCCAGCTCCTGTTACAATTCTTTAAAGAAATGCTTCAGGATATTGATCCTTTGTTTACCATTTCCACTGAAAGCTCTGCTCTTGTCCGCAGCTCATCTGGGGGCAACGGTTTTGGCACCCATTGAATGAAACGTTTTCTCATCTTTAATTATTCAGTCAGAATTGTGTAAGCTGAGCGAAGTGAGGTGCTGGCTGTTGTTTGTGCTGTTAGTCACTTGCCTCTTCAATTAGGGGAATTTTCCTCACAAATCAATGTGGATGGTCTGCTGCTAAGTGCTTCATCCTCAACATGACCTCAGAGTAACTGATCCATTTGTAAATTGCTGATTTCTTTGAGGCACCGTCCCCGTGAATGTTCTGTGAAGCATCAGTGATTTCACTATTCTTCCATGCAAGCGTCATCATCAGTGACACCGCTGATGTCTGTTTTTGCTTTAATTTTAGCAGAATTCATGTTGCTCTGATAGGGACTCTTTTTAAATTGATGTCTTATCATTCTCAGGCGCTAAACTAGATCCTGCTCAGACATGCTATAACAAGGTAGTTTGAGTTTATTTTGGTGCAAGAAACTTTTAAAATCCATGCATAGATTTTTCATAATACATGTTTTCCAGGAACTGAAGACCCCTTATGCTTAGTCTGACAGGCCATTCTAGCTCCAGAACTGCCTGGAGTCAAGACCTGGGCCTGCATGGTAGTCTAATTCCTCCCTCTTCCCACTCTGCTTCCCTCACTCCCTTCCATGGGTGTTGATCACCAGGTCACTCCTTAATCAATATCCTGCACCCAAACTCCATCTCAGAATCTTAAGGAAGACAGGCAGTTGGTATTTGCTGGAATGATGAGGTGTTTGAAGCCACCACAAGGGGAGACCCATCTTGGCTGACACATAGACCTTCCCTGCTGGAAGAAGCGTTCTTATCCTAGGAGTAGTATTTTGTCTTCTGTTGTGTTTAGTCCCCAATGCCCCTTTTCTGCTGCATAACCCTGTGGAAATGGGTTTGTGCCCAACTTCCCCTTTTATACGAGATCAGCATCAAAATCCTGGGGTTGAAAAAGCAGTCTGGCAGTTGAGACAGCCCACAGGCCTTACTCATTAAATGCATCCATTCATCTGCTTCTCTAAATCCCATCCCCATGTGTTGAACCATCAGAGAAATGCCTTCACTGAGGGATGGCCAGGATCATCCATCAAACACTGTCCATATGTTTACCTGACCTCGTTTTTTGCAAAGACTCGCTACATATTGTTCTCACTTAAATTCATATTCAAGAGCCGTCTCATTGCAGAAACGCCTGTTTTATTGTTTTTGTTCAGATTACCTAAATTATGTGATTAATTATAATTCCTTTGGCTGACTAGAATATTTCAGAGTTGAGTTCCATGTCTAGTGCAGTTATCTTCAGGGCCTGGTGGTATCTACTCTGGTCCTTGTCCCAGGAGTCTGTGTCCTGCTTCGACTCAGTCTGTGATTTGCATAGTGTAAATGGCTGGGGATATTTTGCAAAGTCAGCACTGTTTTAAAGAAAGAAGTCCACACTGGGGTAGCTGGGTTGTTTGTGAGCTCCTTAATAGCCATAACTAGATCAGATTTGGAGCTGCAGATTTTAGGGGAATGCAATCCAGTTTGGGCCCCTCCTTTGTCTTCTTAGCTTCTCCCAGGCATCAGTCGTCCCTTAGATCCTCGGCCTGTGTCTTCCTTGAGGGAAAATCTCTCTTTGCTTAAAATCTAATGCTTTTTAGGATCAGGACTTAGGAAGTGTAAATGGCACACACATGGGCCTCAACTCTGCCTGTAGCTCACCGTGTGGCCTCAGCAAATTTCCGTCTTCTCTGTAGCGGCAGTGTTGAGGGATCGTTAGGTTCCAGCTCTGATACTTTTGGGTTCTCTGTCAGGACTACGAGGAGGATCCTTGGCTCTTGATGTGGCCAGGGTATCTGAGAAGCAAGGAGAGCTCAAGGGCCAGCCAGGGTGTTGGTGAGCTGAAAGGGTCGAAGATGGCAGAGCTGAATGGGCCGGGGTTACTGTGATGCTCAGGTCCGTCAGCCTCCCAGCTCTGGGGATGATGAGATGAAGGTTGGAGAGGCTCCCTAGGTTCTTACATCATCTATGCTTGTCCAAAAGTTTAAGGATTACTGAGTGCAACACCTCATTTTAGAGAGGAGTAAACTGAGGCCCAGAATGAGAAGGAATTTTCCTAAGTTTACAAAGTAGCACATAGGTTGAAGCAGGACTGAGGGCCCCTGGCTCCCATGTGGAAGAGACAAAGAATGGGCAGGAGGAGGACAAAGGCCACAACCTCTCCTCTCAGTCCATCATGATTCATCACTTGGCAGTGGCCACATGGATAATCACAAAGCCCTTGATATCTGGGAAGTGAGGGCTTACAAGGTCCACCTGCAGCTGCCTTGGGCCACTCTTGGAGGGGGTGATGTCAAATTGGACTGAAGTTCTTTCCTGGGGCTCCAGGGTGGGCACACTGAAGGAAAAGGAGGGAAGAAAGGCAGACCATCAGTCCTCTTGCCATTCTGAGTCTGGCCTGCCAGTCCATGGCGCCCCAGACTCCTCAGAATCAAGTTCACCTTGTGGCTTGACATTCAAGCCTTATCAGCATGTTTCCAGGTCAGGTGCAGTAGCTCACTCCTGTAATTCCAACATGTTAGGAGGCTGAGGCAGGTGAATCACCTGAAGTCAGGAGTTTGAGACCAGCCTGGCCAACATGGTGAAACCCCATCCCTACTAAAATACAAAAATTAGCCAGACGTGGTGGTGCACACCTGTAATCCCAGCTATTTGGGAGGCTGAGGCAGGAGAATTGCTTGAACCTGGGAGAAGGAAGTTGCAGTGAGCCGAGATCATGCCATTGCACTTCAGCCTGGGCAACAGAGTGAGAGGCTGTCTCAAGAAAAAAGAAAAAAACCAAAAACAAACAAACAAACAAAACCACCAATAACGTGTTCCCGATTTAATTTTCTCTTCCACTACCCACACTCTTCCCATCCAGCCAGGCTAGTTTTCTCTCTGTGCCTTAAACTTCCCTCCTCTAGGCTTTCATCTGCTCTGTTCGTCCCACCTAGGATGACTTCCTTATTCCAATTCACCCAAGGCCCAGATCAAGTTCTCTTCTTCCAGGAGATTTTCCCTGATGACACCAGTCATTGAGACCTCTGCCTGGCAAACTGTCCTTCCTCCTTGATACCTGAAAATCTCAGTTCATTGTTTGACTCAGCTCAAATATCAGCTCCACTGGGACTTCTTCCTGGCCCCTCACTTAAGGGCTGCTTTTGCTCCCCCAGATCTTGGACAAGGTCTTTTCCACAAATCACTGTCCTCATGTGAAGGGCCATCTGTATCTGAGAGCCTTTCTCCAGGCAAAACTCCTCCTGTCCATCTTAGTGTTTCTAACAATTACACGTGGCCCAGAGCACAGGTCAGTATAATCAAGGGCCATATGAGTAGCAAGTGAATGAATGGAAGAATGAAGGAGTGAATGAATGATTGACAATGAATAAGTAAATAAAGGAATCCATGAATGAATGGGAACATGTGTGAATGAATGAGTGAAGGATATAGGTATGAATAAATGAAAAATGAGCAAATGAGTGAATAAATGAGTAAGCAAATTCAAGAATGAATGAATGAATGAGAGATCAAATGAATGAAAGCGAGTGAATAAATAAATGGATAAATAAATGAAAATATGAATCAATGATATGAGTGAATGACTGAGTGAATGAGTTGTATGATTGAGTAAATGAACGATTAAATGAATGAAGAAATAAATAAGTGAATGAAGGCTGATGTGTATAGGCTGTCGGCTGGTTCCTGGGAGGTCCAGAATCTCTCCTGCACCACCCATCCTTGGTAACTTCTCTCTGGTTCATCCATAAGGAAGGCAGCCCCATTCCCTGCCAAACCCCCAGGCTGGCACTTACTCGATGCTGAGCTGTCCCTGGAGAAGGCCGCTGCCCTCCACCATCAGCGCACAGTCCTTTACTCTCTCTAAGATTGGGTTGACTACTGTCACTTCCACTGTAACTGCCACTCCCACCACGGCTGGGCCCAGAACCTGAAGGGACACACCCATGAGTCATCCCACCTACCCCTCCTCCCTCCAGGAAACCAATGGTCCTGTCTGAGTTAGAGGATGGACCATTAGTCCTGTACACCCCCACCCCCATATATCCCATTACTGAGTGCCACCATTGCACCCATCCCCTTATGTCCAGTCCACTCCTCCCATCCTTTAGAGCTAAAGCTGGGGTTAAAGGCACAAAGCCCCCAGCTTCTGACACCCTCTCCCAGCTCTGGGTGTGGGGGTTGCTGCTAGGAACAGCATGCTAGAAGCAAACTGAGGTCACCTTGATGGTGATGAAGTCCTCTAGAGTAATGTCCTTCTCTACCAGAAGCTTCTCTCCTTTGGTGACAAGGCACATGGCAGCCAACAGGATCTTCTTGTCCTCTGTTAGGTCTTCTTTATACTTAGAGTAAGATATTGCAATTGGAATTCTCTTCTCTGGAAGGGAAAGCAGATGTGGGAGTTAGGGCTTGATGTCTTTCTTCAATGGCACTGGGTAGAAGGAAGAGAGTGCCCAACTAATAGCTCCGTTCTCTGTGGTCCTTGCAAGAAATAAATAAGTGAAGAAATAAAGAAACCATTCTGAGACAGGTTTTATTCTCCTCAGTTCTCAGGTGAAGAAACCTAAGGCTCAGAGAGGGTATTTTCTTGTCTAAACTCATATAGGAAGTAAACCAAGAAATTAAGACGAGGTGGGATTCAGATTTAGGCCAGGGAGCTACCACAATACCAGATTATTTCTCCACGAGCCCCTGGAGATGTTTCCAAACTTTCCCTAATTATTCAAGATAGAAGTCTCTCAACCCATCAGCCATTCATCCCATACGTCACTGTTTATTGAGCACCTACTATGTGCTAGGTGCAGAGAAGAGGAAGACCAAAGGCCTGCCTCAATCTTCCAATCTTGTGAGGCCAATTTCCCTCCATGAAGGCTCAGTCCTGGTCAACCCCACCAACTGTGAGAAGTCTTTACTGATACTTCCACCCAGTGCTCTCATACTCTCTGAACTCCTGTGGTCCTGGCCTTTTCTGTCCCCCTTACAAACACCCTGCCTATGTGCTCTTTTCTTGTAAGCATGGATTACCACAAACCTCAGTCATATTTGTTTTTTTCTACTATATATTCTTTCTTTTAGGTTCAATGTGCTCTTTCGGGTTTGCTCCCAGGCCCTCTTGTTCCCTGTTGTTCTAACGGCCACTGCTTCCTTTATTTCTTTCTATTCCTGACTCTGAAGGCATCTGAGTTTTTAACTAAAGGAAAAAGTCCTTAAAAGCCTCAACTTGGCTCATGTGCTTTGCTACCCCAGGGCATTGCACATCGTAGATTCTCCTGAATACCAGTAGGTTGATTTATGTGTTCAAGTATGATTTTGTTTTATGGGCTCCCTTCGTTCAGTAGGTCAATACTGTAAGAACCTTTACTACAATAAAAGTAATAAATAATAATTATAGGCTGGGAGTGGTGGCTCATACCTGTAATCCCAACACTTTGGGAGGCCGAGGTGGATGGATCACCTGAGGTCAGGAGTTCGAGACCAACCTGACCAACATGGTGAAACCCTGTCTCTACTTAAAAAAAAAAAAATACAAAACCAGCTGGGCGTGGTGGTATGCACCTGTAATCTCAGCTACTCAGGAGGCTGAGGCAGGAGAATTGCTTGAACCCAGGAGGCAGAGGTTGTAGTGAGCCGAGAGAGCACAACTGCATTCCAGGCTGGGTGACTGCGTGAGACTCTGTCTCCAAATAACAATAATAATAACAACAACAATAATAATGATAAAACCTAACATTTACTAAGGAACTAAAGTGTGCTGCATTTGAAATTGCTTTCAAGGATTGACTCATTTAATCCTTACAGCAATTCCATGAGCAGGTATTATTATTTTTATTTATTTTTGAGATGGAGTCTTGCTCTGTCACCCAGGCTGGAGTGCAGTAGTGTGATCTCGGCTCACTGCAACCTCCGCCTCCTAGGTTCAAGAGATTCTCCTGCCTCAGCTTCCTGAGTAGCTGGGAATACAGGCGTGTGCCACCACGCCCAGCTAAGTTTTGTATTTTTAGTAGAGATGGGGTTTCACCATGTTGGTCAGGCTGGCCTCAAACTCCTGACCTCGTGATCCGCCTGCCTCGGCCTCCCAAAGTGCTGGGATTACAGGTGTGAGCCACTGCACCTGGGCTCAGGTATTATTATTTTTATCCCCAACTTTTGATAATAATATAAAAAACTGATAAAAAACTGATAATAAACAACATAAATTGAATGTTCATTAGGTAGCAGGGATAATGCCCAATACTATATATACATTAAATCATGTATCATCTACTCCTTGCATGGTGATAGACTATGGTTCTCCAGGTGTGGTCCTCGGATCAGTGGCATCAGTGTCACCTGTGAACTTGTTAGTAATGTAAATTCTCAGTCTCCAGCCTGAAGAACCACCATATGCCACCATATGACACTCATGAGCTGAGTTCTGGGCATCAGTTCAGACCCTGGGAGAAAGGAGGAGAAAAGTAGCCCATTAAAGTGTTCAGATCAGGGCTTCTTGAAGTCTTCTGGCTCACAGACTCCACCAAGAATCTAATAAAACCTGAGACTCCTTTCCCTAGAACAATGGTTCTCAATAGCACCATCACTCAACTAGACATAGCTGACATCTGCAGAAGATTGCATCCAGCAACAGCAGGATACACATTCTTCTCAATCTCACATGGAGCAGTCACCAACATGGATCAAATTCTGTGGCACAAATGATACTTAACAAGTTTAAAGTAATAGAAATTATGCAGTGTATGCCCCAGAACACAATGAAATTAAACTGGAAATCAGTGACAGAAAGAGAGCTGAAAAATCTAAAAAACCTGGATATTAAACAATACACTTCTAGAAGAACACATGGGACAAAGAAGTCTCCAGAGAAATTTAAAAGTATTTTGAAGTAAATGAAAATGAACATACAACTTATCAAAATTTGTGGGCACATGCTTGCAGTCCCAGCTACTTGGGAGGATGAGGAGGGAGAATCACCTCAGCCCAGGAAGTTGAGGCTACAATGAGCCATGATCATGCCACTGTACTCCAGCCTGGGTGACAGAATGAGACTCTGTCTGAAAAGCAAAGCAAAACAAACAAACGAACAAACACCCCCAACACACAAATTGGTAGGATGCAGCAAAAGTAGTGCATAGAGAGAAGTCTATAATATTCAGTACATATGGTAGAAAACAATAAAGATCTAAAACCAATAATCTAAGCTTCCGCTTTAGGAAACTATAAAAAGGAAAACTCATCATAAGCAGAAGAAAAGAAATAATAAAAATTGAAGCAGAAATCGGCACAATTGGAAATCAGAGATCAACAGAGAAAATCAGCAAAACCAAAAGCTGGTTCTTTGAAAAGATCAATCAAGTCAATAAGCCTCTAGCAAGGCTAACTTAGAAAAAAGAGAGAAGGCATGAGTTACTAATATGAGAAATGCTAGAGAGGGCATCTCTACAGATCCCGTGGACATTAAGAAGACAGTAAAGTTAACAAGTTTGGGGAGTTAGGAAAAAAACAGATAGTGAAGGAATATTATGAACAACTTTATGCCTACAGATTTGATAACCTAGATGAAAGGGACCAGTTTCTGAAAGAAAAAATCTGCTAAAACTCACATAAGAAGAAACAGACAATCTGAAGAGGCCTATATCTATTAAAAAATTGAATCAGTACTTAATAACCTTCCAAACCAGAATGCATTAAGGCCAGATGGGTTCATTGGTGAATTATACCAAGCATTGAAGAACAAAAATTATAGCAATTCTCTACAGTCTTTTTCAGAAAATAGAAGCAGAGACATACTTCTTAATTCATTCTGTGAGGCCAGCGTTACCGCATTACCTTAATGCCAAAATCAGCCACAGACATTGCAAGAAAAGAAACTACAGATCAATATGAACATAAATGTAAAAATTCTAAACAAAATATTGGTAAATTGAATCAACAATGTATAAAAAATTACATGACATGATCAAGTGAGATTTATTCCAGGCATGTAAGGCTGGCTCAATATTAAAAGTCAATTATTATAGTCCATCAAATCAAAGGAAAAAAATAACATGATCATATCAATAGACACAGAAAAAGAATTTGATAAAATCCAACACCCATTCCTGATAAAGCTCTCAGCAAACTAGGAATAGAGGAGAAATTTACTCAACTTGATAAAGAACATCTATAAAAAACCTGCAGCAAATATTGTACTTAATGGTGAAAAACTGGAAGCTTTCCGATGATGATTAGGAACAAGGCAAGGATGTCCCGTCTTACCATTCTTTTTCAACATCATATTGGAAGTCCTAGCTAGTGCAATAAGACAAAACAAGGAGATAAAATGTACACAGATTGGGAAGGAAGGAATAAAACAGTCTTTGTTCACAAATGATATAGTTGCCTATGTAGAAGATCCAAAAGAATCATTAACAACAACAAACAAAAAATCCTGGAACTAATGAGTGGTTATAGCAAGATTACAGGGTATAAGATTAACATACAGAAGTCAATCACTTTCCTATATACCAGCAATGAACAATTGGAAATTAAAATTAAAAACATAATACCATTTATGTTAGCACCATCAAAAATGGAATATTTAGGCATTAATCTAACAAAATATGTACAAGATCTACATGAGAAGAATGGTAAAACTCTGATGAAAGAAATCAAAGAACTAAATAAATGGAGAGATATTCCATGTACATGGATAGAAAGACTCAATATTTTTCCTTTCCTTAAAAAGGCTCAGTTTTCCTAACTTGATCTATAGATTTAATGCAATCTGAAGAAGTTATTTTGTGGATATTGACAAACTGATTCCAAACTTTATGTGTGAATGGGAGAAAAGAATGAAGAGAAGCTGGATAATGGGGACAAGATACTTAGAAAGAATAAGTACTAATATTTCATAATACAGCAGGAAAATTATAGTTAACAGTGATTCATGGCATGTTTCTAAATAGCTAGAATAAGCAAATCATAATGTCTCCAACACACAAACAAGATACAGATAAATGTTTAAGGTGATGGATATCCCAGTTACCCTGATTTGATTGTTACACATTCTATACATGTGTCAAAATATCATGTGTACCCACAAAATACGTACTACTATGACATATCAATTAAAATTTTTTTAAACAGCATGACATAAAAAAAAGTTTATGTCAAGAGGCAAAAGACCCAGAATAGGCAATACAATATTGAAGGAGGGAACAAAGTTGGAGGACTGGCACTACCTGACTTCAAGGTTTACTATAAAGGTACAGTAATCAAAACAGTGTGGTATTGGTGAAAGAATGGACAAGGACAGGCATACCTTATTTTATTGTGCTTCATTTTATTGTACTTTGCAGATATTGCATTTTTTACAAATTGAAGGTTTATGGAAACCCTGAA